AAAAAAAAAAAAAAAAAACTTTCTGTTTTATCTCAAAACTCATTTCACTAAATTGATGTATGAGAATGGCTGTTCTTCATGCCTTTTTTTCTAGGCAAGACTGTGTGTCACACTATTTATCTTTAGTTATTTGCTACATGAAAATGCATCCAAGTGATACCAGTGCATTTAGTGATTTTTAATGGAGTGAGACACTTATTCTTTAATGAATTAGCCATATGTATATTTTTCTCCCACAAATGCCTATTCTTGTCCTTCGATCATATTCTTTGGGGTCCTCAATTTTCTTATTATTTATTTGCAAGAACACTTTACTATTAAGATACTTTCTTTTTTACAGATATTCCACAAATATTTTAGTTTAGTCTTGGTCTGTAATTTTATTTTTTTTCAAATTTTGTTGTTGTTGTTATGTGCCATCAAGTCGGACCTGACTCATAACAACCCCTCCTTGGGTTTCCGAGGCAGCATCACTATGGAAGTAGATTGCCCCATCTTCCTTCCGAGGAGTGGCTGATGGGTTTGAACCTCTAGGCTTCTGGTTAGCAGTCAAGTGCCTTAGGCACTACCAGAGCTCCCTTTTCAAATTTACTATACAATTATTTTAAATATTTTAATAATTTCAGATCTACAACTTTGAATATGGTTTCTTCCTTTGTTGTCCATTTTAAAAAGTCATAGTCCACAAATCTAGATTTAATATTTAAAAGATATGGGGAAAAGACTTATAAATTGATAAATTCAGTTTTAAACAAAACTCTGTAAAACAATGGTGGGTATGGGAAAAGTATACTGAGTGAGTTCCTCATAGTTAAACTTCAAAGTATCTTCAAATGCCACCTTTTATAGGGAGTGCTCGTGGTGGCTGGAGGTGGTTGTGAAGCATGACATTACTATGGTAATCAAACTTGATGCTAAAGAAGATGAAACCCTGGTAGAAACTGAAGTACTAGCTATGAGTTGAAGAAAGATAAGACTGAAGTTTTTCAGCATGCCACTGGAATAATTCCACAAATTTTCCAACTATTTCATCTAGCTGG